CTAATAATATTTTCACTACTTAAAACGAGACAAAGAGCCTTCCGAGGGCGTTTGTGTCAAGCACAATAACGGTTAAGTAGCCTGTTAATCCCTAAAACGCTGGCTGAGTAATGCCAAAACACCAGCAAAACTAACAATTCATTATAGACTGCAGAATGCGGTGATATGTAATACAAAATCTCAACTTTGTGCCTTGGGTTATGCTTTGAATGTAGTCTGTACTAGGTGCAATCCGCTCGTGTTTTTGAGCATCTATTGGGGTTAAATTTCCTGTATTGGAAAGTTCAGGCAACGTTTAAGAATGTATCAGCATATTTTGTGGTATCACTGAAACGACGCGGACTTCTGAATCTACCAACTATTTTTTATTATTTTATTAATAAAATCAGTAGCAGAGTAAAGAGATTTATTTTTGGCATTCAATCTATACATATTAAAATGTATTTTATCTCCGTTTTGGAGTAGAAAGATAGAAAATGATCAGCCGCACACAGAAACTAAGTTTCATTTTAGCATGCTTTCAATGTAGACCTTGTTTCTCCGTGCTGCAATGTCTGAGAATTTTTAACCATTTTTAGCCGGAAAATGTGGGCAGGTCTTTCGAAGTTCAATCAGACCTCATTTCTTTGGTTTGTACCAACAAATTAATCCGATTCATATTTAATTATTTAACAGGCGAATCATATAAAGTGTATGGCAGAGCATAGCATCAACGCAACCACCCCGTCAATGAAGAAGGTGAAAAATTAATGATATCTGTTCTTCCGTTCCTCATATGAAACGGTGGAAAACCTAACGTCCCAGGCAAATTCCTAATTAATCCGCTATAATGTAGAGGCTATCAAACCTGTAAGTAACGTTTCTGCTTTTTTTACTTGTTGCTTTGAAGCTATTGCTATTTAAGACATAACCATATCTGTGCAAATCAGATATTCTTGGAAGATTATCAAGTTCAAATCGTTGATATCGGAATTAAAAGAGATTCAGACGAACACCAACAACTCTGACGCTTTCCCATTTTCCCATAAATTCTTTCGGTTGAACCCAGTTAATTCGATGTAAACCCCTCGCTTGTTGACTGCTCTCATAGTAGACAATGATCTAACTGTAAAAAGATCAAATATGCCCGTAAGGTCTCGCTGCTAGACTGTCAGCTTGCACATAATGTTGGTCCGTCCATTATCGGGCTTAAATCACACCAAGGTTTGATATGTTTGAAAATCTAAAAGCCGTGTTCTTTTGGTACCTTGCGGTAAAATACGTGTTTCTTTCTTCATCGATGCACCATGATTGAAATCATGCTCATGCGGTATCATCGTGGGTTTGTTGGTCCATTATTATCAGCGGTTCTCTTCATTACTGATCACTTGCTTTCCCATGGCGACTAGATGCTATGGATATGTACTCTACGGCAAATCCATCTCAAGGCCAATTACCGTTCCTAGCACAACGCTCAATGTATTCGGGTTCCGTGAGAGCTGAAATCGATCCCTCTATGCGCAGTCCCGCAGATCGTTTGGGCGAATTTCAGCACCATTGTCTCCGGTCGTTGGCCAGTATGATTGTGTGTCCACACACCGCATTGCCCATAACTGTCGGCCTGTTTACTCAATCTGGCTCGATGCGTGAGACGAGCTATTTGCAGTTGCTCGGGGGTGAGTGTAATCTTTCAAATCCTAAAATTGAGTCTGTTTGGACTGATGCAATTTCAGCTCGTCTTTTCTTTTTCTTGTTTTCTACGGGGATAGTCTCAGTTATATGACATAATCCAACCAGGAAATCGCCTAAAGGATTTTTAGAACTAAAGGAAAATGTTGTTGAATGGTTTACAAGACATGAGCGAATAATTGGAATCCGAGAACCTGTGTTACATAACCAATCCTAATTAGTTGTTTTACTGATCAACCCAACTGTTATTTGAAATTGGACCGTGTCTTTTAAACACCAAACTGATCTGATAGATCTAATAATTTGCGTCAAAATTCACCAGACCATGAAACAAGATAAATATCTTATTATCGGCCAAATTGTTACCTTCTTTTACGCTTGTGTGACGAACAGTGGTGAAATGTGGTTCTTCAACCATTCCATCCGGCGGATGATAATGAGAAAGTAAACATTTACCAGCAAAATATTCAACGGAGGAAAAATAAAGGATGCTTATAATGTATTTACGCTCATTTATCAAGCAACGCCGCGAATGATTGCTCTCTGTGTACTATGACATTTACATGCACATTCCCCGATCACAAGCTTGCTGCGGATTGTTAATTAAAACATGAGTTTTGTTTAAAATATATTTAATATTAGTTACCAGAAAAAATGGTGATCAAGTGTGGGAACGATGAATCAAGTTTCGTTTCGTTTACAGTCTTCAGTAGGTTGTTCAATTGTTGCAGGCTCATTTGATCATGTTTGAACTGGTTAGATCGTAAATCCAGCAAGCTGCGGAGCGTGCTGCTTAATATATAACATTTTTTCTACACAGTCGGGTTCAGTGTTGATTTTTAAGTTTACGTGTAAAACAATATAATCAGTCCGACAAAGCACTACCATGCAGGTATTGTTTTTAAAATCATTGAACCAAAAGAAACAGAACTCAAGCGGGTAGGTGAGAATACTAGTTTTTCACACTACTTTGGAGGTAGGAAACACTTGCTTCAGTTCCGTTTGATCTCTAATTTTAGTCTCTTGGATTAATAGCATTATACGGTCGCCAAACATTATTTGCAATATTTGAGCTGTCTTTCAGCACTTTTCACGTGGGCGCTTTTCATTAACAGATATTTACCATTCTTGATAAATCCCAGGAAGCATGCAATTCAAATTCAGTACAGACTGAGGAATTGCATAAAATATACTTGTATGAGTAAGTAAATTGGGTTAGTGAAGTTGTTTGAGCCCAGTAACTGCTTACATAATAAATGAAATCTTCTGTTATTGAAATTAATACCACGATTGCTTTTACTGTCGATTTTGTGCAAAAAACTCAAAAGATGTCCGCACATCAAACAAGAAGTATGCATATAAAAGACGAAAATAAAACATTTTGGCTGTCTTGAAAACTCGGCTCCCGTTCTTAGTAACTCCTGGTTCATGCAACCGGGCACTGCTGTCATACGAGCACGAATCCGAGCTTGATTTATGTGAAACCTGTTTTCTCTCTAGTTTCTAACTTTCGATGATTTATATGGATTCTGAGTTTGTGAACAGAAAGCCCGTTTATCGCCATTCTGTGTCTGATGATGAATTTATCACATTGCTGTGGCTACGAAAAGTGCCCCGGTGATGTAAGTTTTCGTGTGTTCGTGTACACTGAACATGCACAATGCATACACGTTGACAAAAATATTTGCATTGCTTTTTGCGATCCCGTACAAACCGGTTGACAAGCTGAGTTGTTTGGGTGACATATTCTGGTTCCAGTCCTTGAAATTTATTGAGAAACTGCCAATTTTCGGTATCGATAAGTTATCTTAGTTTCATGGAAATTCATGCTCAAACCGATCTTCGCTGGGTAGAATTATTAGAATAGCAACTGCGTAAGTAGTATTTTATTTGTACTTTACTAACCGAGTAATCGATGATCATGTTTACGACGGTCTTCAGTGGTCCCTTATATTGATGGCCACTATCGGTGTTTTTGTTCAGTAGTACCAAATAATGATCATTTGCGATTTATCGTCAAACGGTACTGCGACTGTCACATCGGCCTATAATGAAACGTTGGCCCACTGTTATCCTGTATGACAACTTTATCTCCGATTAGCGAGTTTAGTGGTTTATGAAGGATAACGGTATACTTAGCATATAATCAATGCTTATTTTGTGTAGTAATTCCGAAGACAAACAGATGTTTCCTAAAAATAGAATAATAACGAACGTGATCAACTTTCATCAGTTATGACTCAACAAGCATTGTGGAACACCAGGTTTCTCTAACCTAAGGGTGTGATTTGCACACAAAGTGCGCGATCAACTGTTGAAATCCCTTTCTCTACTTCCGTGAATGTTTTGCTGAAGATTAACTGAAAAACAGCTTTAAAAACGTTTTTCTAAACTGTTCATGGTGAGAGTAGATGTCATTTTCTGTCAGTGATGAAACGATTTCATTAGGGGTCACTCCGTGTTGCAAAATTGTTAATTCCGAAAAGCGAAAAAAGTCAGAATTTAGCTCATGTTATTCACTGTGTTCTCTGATAAAAAACAGCAAATTCCGTAGAAGTTTTACAACAATTGAGATATCAGAAAGAGTCCGGAATTTAATTATTTGATTTCATTTGATTTTATATTACTGTGCCATATCTATTCTGTTTTAGAGGAAATATCTCATTTGAATTCAACACCAAGCCATCAGCCCCTTCGAAACGAGGGCAGTCGATTCAGTTGGGGATCTAGTCTGCTTCCACTCATGGCCACCTTCCTCATCGCCTATGTTCTCGGTCTGACTCTGGGTTGGCAGCTTGGTCTGGCTGTGGCTGTTACCGCCACAGTGTTGTATTTCATAGCTTGCAGTAAGTGTTGTACAAATTCATATAACTTATCATGTTTACATGCTCAATAATTTTCAAACATTTTACTGATCTTTTCCTCGTACACAGAAAGTTCTGTTGAATATTTTCGTGGTTTACAACATTTTGTTTTACTTTGTATTATACATTTTTGACACTGTTCTCTAGACAAGTGTTCACAGTAAAATTTAAGGGGAAATTGACACATCAAATGTTGCGTGGAATAATCTAAACTTTCAACCCTTGCGTTGAAACTATTTCCACTTCGGAAACTCACCTGGAACTGACATTACCTTTCCTTCGTTTCACATAAAATATATTCGACAGTAAGTGAACAACCAAACCCTTACCCGAATTCCAAAAGGATTTTAGAACAACTCCTCTCATCAGGCTGATCTACCAATCAAATTAAATCAAATGTGAGCCCAGCTTGTAACCTTAAAAGCAATTTTTGTCTTTTTGAAGTTATACTTGCGACTTGATTGATAAAGAACAAACGTGGACCGAGTCCACCCGTTTCCCATTGACAATGAACTGTGCTGACCTCGTGCGGTTTGACTTTTTGGTTCACACCGGTCAAAGCCGGTTTGCGGTGCCGTCAGGCTAATCAAATTTACTAACCAAACGAACACAAGAGGCCAATCGCAAATTGGTTTGTCACTTGAAGATAAATGACTCACTTGGATCCCGAGAGCAAAATATATTTTGTCGGTTTGACTTTGTTGTCCCTAGTCAGAGGAGATTTAGTTGGTCACAAGTAACCAGGGCAAAAGAATTTCAAGATAGCTGAGTGGTATCTCCACAAAATTAGTCAGGGCAAGCAAATTTGATCGCAGTAACTAGGGTTGGATAATACCCATCTGGGAATAGATAATTAACGCGCATATTCGGCAGTAAGAACCCATGTTTCGTGCAGCTCTAATGGGACATTCATAAGATTGATTAAGCTGTTAAGTTAATGAAGAATTGCAAATTCCTCAAAGAAATCACGGAAGCTTAAAAAGGGTGAAAGCCAAAGTACATTGCAGCTGCTGAAATGCAATTTCAGTGGACCACCTTGGAAAGTAGCCAAAGGTTTCCTCCTATCTCAGGAAGTTAATCAAGTAAACTTCAAAACCCGTATATATGTGTTCTGAAATTCGTAAAACGACTGATGCATTTGTCGCCATTTGGAATGCACGCAATTCTCCGTAAACGGAGAGCAATTATCTGTTTTATACCGGAGAATAACCGATGGTTGTTTTCCATTTTGTCTTGAAATGAAACCAACTGCCTATTTACTTCTCAATAGACATACATAGGTGGAGCTTGTCGTTCGTTGTAATGCCCAAATAACGAGGGTAGAACTGGGAAGATTGACTTTGCGATACACCAGGGACTGTGTTTATTTTTGTTCCTGTTACTGTGCGGAACAGGCTGTTGGAGCAGTTGTATTCTTGCTTGCAACGTGAGCAACTCTGATCCCAATACAGCGTGGTATTGGCGAACATGACTTTTAATACGTGAAACCATATTTGATCAAAATGCAAATGGTGGATGAAAAACATCTTATTCATTCAATATTTCACAGGAAGAAAACGAATCACAATTGTAGCTTACCTTCGTGATGCAAACAGAGAACAATTCGTAATATCGCACTTTACTTGCGTTCACCGCGTGTGGGGTGATCAGACCGATAGACTTAATATAATGTATAATCTAGTGATGTTTTTGAATTAATGTAGAGTAATAGTGCGTGTGTATCGTGTATTTTCTTCGCTCCTTTTGGCAAAGTTTATTTGAAATATTTTTCCTATTAGTCCATTCTAGATGCGGAGTAGATTGGCATATTCATAAGATCCTTCAGTCGCCTACTGATGTGTTTAGCAGTTGAGAGCAGCTATGATTGTTAAACTGATTGTCTCGAGTAAAGACAGTTTAGTTAGTGTTAAACTTCAGAAAACAGACTATCAATATGTCATTTTTTATTGTTATTAGTGTACATTTATAACTCACATTAGCTGACTGTACTGGACAGCATATTGTATTTTCAAGGTGATTCTCTTTAGGGACAAGTGAATTATTTATCATCCTGTTTTTCACGCCACTTACGCTTTCCAATCTAGCTGTTGTTTTCTTCGGTGTTCGTGGAAAAAATTGTCCGAAGTCTGTACAGTTTGCTGAAACCTTATCGCGGTACATACGCGGATGTCAGTTGGTTCTCAACATTTTATTCTACCGCGCTCCGTCAGCCCCATCTTCCGCACAACCAGTAAAGTAAGAAGTATTTCAGTGCAGTCTAAATTTGTTCGTCCTTGTCTAAAGATTGTATTCACGTTATAATACCCACCAAATGCACCAATCAAACAAACTGATTTGTCAAAAGTAGGAATAGTAACTCACTTTCGTGTCTGTTTGATGGATTTCTGTAGAGCACATACAGACTTCACACGAAATGAAATGTTCCTGTGAACCGTTGTATGTGTTTAGCTCCATTTTTAGTGATCAGATCGGACAAGTTTTGACAGATATTTTTATTAGTTAAATTCAATTATTTTTCGATTTTATGAGCCCAACTCGCTTGCACATACTTCGCATACAAGTTGATTTTATACTCAACAAATAAAATGGATAACAGAAAAATGAAACCACTGAGAAGGGGCTTCTGTACTACATAATTTCACGTGAAACAATATTTCGAAGATAAGTAACAATAAAAATGAGGTTAAAATAGGGGAAACGGATGATACTCAGCGTATGATACCTTAGTACTGATTACGTTGTGAAATTTCCAAAACAACTCGTTCGTTAAACAAAAGCTAATACACTCCAGGCAGGACAGTCTCAGTAAACGTAAGTGGAATCGTATTTGCTGTGTGTAGTCCACCAACCAACAACTTCACACAATGAAATGTATAGACTGATTAATTTTAGGTCACCAATTTTGAGTGCTCTTTTTACTTCTGTAAACTAGCAGTCATATCACCTCAGAAAGTGACCTACGTGAAGGTAGATGAATCAAACACATCAGCGTGGTTGGCAGGTGAGCTGCTTGTTTAAAATGTTTTGTGGGGAAGTTAGACTGTCAGTATAACCGAATTGATTGAGTGACTCACTCTCTCATTGTAGGATTCCTTTTATTCCGATATGAATGCTCCGATGTGCGTTTACATAAATATGGCCGTGCCTAAACTTGATGCATAGGTCATTTCTCCGTAGATCTGTCTGTGTTGATAACTTTTCAATAAAAGAAGGATCAAGATGGAATAAAACAACATAACCTTGAAAAAAGATTGCATATTATTACTATTCTATGCTTAATTGTAAATGTACAACAGAATGCTTGCTAGGCTCAGTAGTAAGTAGTTTTCAAGCGTTGCGCGTCTGACGCTAGATTTTCAAAATCGCCGGTGATTCAGCGCGATGTAAAAATGCAGTGCTGGTCAACTGTAATGCAATAAAATATTTTCTTTATGACCAACTTGAGTTTCATTATATTTATCATCTATATTATTACTTCAGGCTTTGACAATGATATATATCTTTTCTACTTTGATCTACGTAATCTGTAGTCTGCATGAATGTCAGTTAAACATGCCTGACTTTGGTTGCCAAGATTAAATAATCTCAACATGAAAATCGCAAACTTTATTAGTACGAGAACGCAATAGTTTCTAATAGAAATGACTCAAGAATTATCCCAAATTATTTCCATAGGTCGTTGCCATTTCGATTGTTTGTTATGAGGCAATTTTTATCCGATATATAATCCATTATAGCAACGCTATTGAATAACCAAATAAAATTCTTTCACAACCCGGAGAAATTGCATTAAATAATATTACTCTGATGGGCAGAGATAAAAGATGACCAGCCTTGTCGGTGGACATCAGATAAAGGCACCATGAATAGTGAGAAATTTGCATCACTAATTACAATAATGTCTCCAAAATTTCAGGAAAAATCTTTTGGAAAAGTTATCGTTTTGCAGGATAACGCTCCGTGTCATGTTTCACGAGAGGTTAGTAAATTTATTTAGTTACGAATTCTGGTTCACTTAGTATTTGCTGTTAGTTTTCAGAAAAGATGTGGGGCTCTAAGGTCCAGTTCATACAACTGCCCCTAATAGCCCGGATCTGAATGTGATTGAAAACCTGTTTTCTGTTTTGAACAGAGAGGTCAATGTGCTACCTGTACATTGCACATTGTAATGCAAAGTGCACTAAGTAATAGAGCGCAAAATAGTAAATGACTTCATAACAAAGTTGGTGGATTCTATGTTGAAGTATATCAAAAAAGTCCTAAAGAACAAAGGCAGACCAATCGATTATTACTGTACACAAAATCTACATCTTAATTAGTATAAATGTTAATTTGTTGTAAATAAAAACTGTTCCTTGAAGCATGGGGTCACCTTTATCCAATTCGTTAGAACCGATAGAAGACAAATACTGCGAGATGTTAACATTTAGTCTAATCTCTTCAGTCCCTACAACGTAAAACAATCCGGTATTTATACAGGCAAGTTTTGGTAACTACAGTGATAAAAACGGACAGTAGTCAGGGAAGCGGGGCAGAGGGTGGAGTGGGAAATCAGTTCCATGGCACTGTGACTGATTTTATAACTTGATTAGCATCGCCTCGCTAAACGCAAAATTCTGGGGTTCATGTTACGTAATCACGGCTTGAACGACATTTGTGAGTCAACGATCTGTCCAGTTGCCATGAGATGTTTTGCGATTGACGACCCTGGATTTCTCTTATAGGTTTCACCTCTAAGACTTTGTTGCGTCATCGATTGTACCAACGACTTGGGAATGTGTTCAGACATCCGCTGTGCTAGGAGCCGATTCATTCTGCCAATATAAGTTGCACCGCAACTGAAGGTGAACTGGTAGACGATATGTGAAGCAGAATTGTTCGTCTGGTTCTGTCTTCGGTTGTCTAAACGTAGTCGTTGGGTATAGGTGCCAATCGAAGCTGTGTAGCAGGAAACGTTCGATAGCTTGATGCACATCGTTCATTATATGATCACCTTTAAAGGCGAATCCGTGGAAGACGTTCTTCTTCAGTACTTCGCAGACGGAATCGACAAGTGTCTTTCGTCTGCTATGCATATCAATAAATTTCTCTGAATAACCGTAATCCAGTAGCGTCCTTCGCAAAAAGGTTTCTTCTTGGACAGTGTCAGGGGGGAAATATTCCTGACACGATGGAACAGAGACTTTATCAGACCTCTTTTGTGAGCAACAGGAGCAAAACTGACAAATTGTAAGTATTGTTCACTCTATGTCGTCTTCCTGTAGACGGAATTTTGTAAGGTTTCATTCGATCGCCTCCTGATTTTTATATCCAAAAACATTCAAACAACCATCGTTTTCCTCCTCAAGAGAAACAGAGAGATTGGGATGACTAGTATTAAATAGTGGTAAAATGGTATTAAAATGATCAGAGTCGGTAAAAATCAAAGTATCATCAACATAACGTTTGTACTAAACAGACACTGAAATATTATCATTCAATCGTCTTTTAATCATTCCCAGGAATACACTGGCTATTGTTGAGCCTAGGGGACTGCCCATTGCTACACCGTCTATTTGTTTGTGCGCTGTTCCTTCAATTTCAGAACTTATGTCCTCAGTGCAAAACTATGATAATATATTTTAAATAATCAAGGGTAATAGGAAGGTGAATATTCATTGAAGAGATAAAACCACATAAAATGTCTACTGTTTCGTGGGGAGGAACATTTGTAAAATTTAAATAAACATCAATGGAAAACATCTTAGCAGAAGATAAATTAAAATTGTCTAATAAATTAGCAAGTTCAAAAGAGTCTCTAATGCAATGAGGCGTCAGAACTTTACGAATAAGGATCCAGAATGTCGACCAACCATCGGGCTACTTTGTGATACGATGAATTCTGTATGCATAAGATTGGTTCCTTTCTCTTTATTTACCTCTTACCTCATCATGGTCTGGGTCAACCGCTAGTGATAAAATGGGAGTATCCGCTACATTCTGAACCATTCCATCTGCTGAGTGTAAGCGAATCAGGAAAATCACTGCTATGAAGACTCAAAAAGGCTTGTTTATTTTTATTTGGAAAAATAGTTACTTCAGTATAAATGCTGCTACCTATGCGAACCCACAGGTGTTTCACAGGGACCCGTTGCTTCAGTTTTGATTAGACTTGTAAGCCTGTTAGAGGCTTACTTTTCGATCGTTACTTCTTATCTAACCGATTGAATGACCATGTAATATTACCGAAAACGTGGATTGTGCTCGCTTCACCGTTTCTCACACCGAGTTGTGAGATTCGTAATGTGGGGCACAAGAATCGGGAATAAATTGTGTATCAAAGGCTTTTTTGTATTGTCAATAAGGAAAAGCCTTTCTTACATATTCGTATATCATGATAGTATGCCATTGTAACCAAAGTAACATGATTGTGGCTAAAGGATCTTGAACATGTATACATATATGCTTAAAATCTTGTAGCCACAATCATTATTACATTGAATATTTCTCCTATGACATAAACTTTCACAAGAATTCGAACAAGTGCTTAATTTTGCTCCAATACCACCAACGTATCTTACTGATAACGCATATAAGTTGCATTTGTTTATGACTTGCACTAAAACCAACGCCGTTACCGTCAAACATCTTTGGTCCTTATATTGCTAGATTTATTCCAGACAATCTTTAAGCTAATCATGAACCGTTTGTGGAATCAATACTTTGTAACTAAGAAGAATTACGTAGTCCTAAAAGTTCTACTGGTTTGTGGGACAAACTCTTCAAAAAAAATGTTCAACACTTACACCGTAGACAAAATCAGCTGTCTTCATCCACTTTGCATTACGCTTGTCTTTCACGACAGATTTCGGATTTTGTTTCCCTACCGTATTCAGCATAAAAGCTTCAGAAGTGACATTGATTAGTTCAGATGAATATTGGATTCAACTATCGACCGAATGAGATCTGCCGAATGTTGTTCAACCTTTTTTTAACAGCTATATGATAAAAAACTTAATTTTTCAATCTAAAATTTGTTTGAATCTTCCGTTTACGTAGTTCTGCACATCAACTGGATGCAAATGCGAAAGCACTACAAATTTGTTTGATTATATAATCACAGACTCCGGCTACAAAAGTCGAAAAAACCACCTCATTCATTAATATTACTACTGTTAAGAGGAAAACTCTTACACACTTCGCTTGGATGTTACTGTGGAATTAGCTTCTGGCAGTATCCTGTGCTATATTTTATTAGCACAACGCATCGGAAATGGAATTACTAGAATGCCGCTGTCAATTTAATTGCCATATAATGAGGAAATTTGTAATTAGCATTGCAGTTAGTGGCACTTAAAGCTATGTTGTCGTTTAGTTCACTCCTCCTTTGTCGGCACATCCTTTTCACTAGGAACATGATCACATCAACTGATAGCTAGATACTTCATCCTGCCATGATGGTGATCTGAACTCAAAAATACTATTATCAGTTCGTGTCAAAGAATATTGTGAAAATGTCAGCCAAGCAGACTGAACCCCGGTTAAAGGAAACTCTCTCTCTACAGTATACTCTGCAAATAGTTTTACCATTAAAATACCGTGTTGAAAGGAAACCGGTGCTAACTCAGTATATTCTCCAGTCCGCGAAAGATAGATACTGAAATGCTTGGAACAACCCTAACTATATTTCGCCTTTCCCCAGCTTTTTGAACAACCTATCCTCATTTGACACTTAAGTGGCACTTTATTTCTGTATCACATTTATTCTTTAGTTTATCAAGAAACATTTGTCAAACCTACTAGCACATGTTGTTCAAATTAATTATCGGTATCCGCATGAAATAAAACAATCGTTGTATCCTGTAATGTGGTTTGACCACATTATCTGATGCACATTGATTTTTCATTCTAACCTGTTTTAAATACCCCATCAGAACAAGTTTACCGCAAAAATGGGTTCATTCGGAAGTTTGGCGCATAGTGCAATCGTCTCTAATCGTTTTTCTCCAACCAACATCTCTATTCAATTAGATCAAAACCATCGAAATACATTCGGGCCTCTGTTCTGTCTACCTGATGTCTGTCAAGTAATGCAACCCCTTGTCATATATTTCCTACTCTACTCTGTTAGGCCATATTTCTGTGGAAAAACCTAACTCTCTCGGAAGAGAGTCTTTTTACTAACGATTTAGTAAAGGAAAAGTATTGATTAAATGCGGATCTATAAATGCACTCAACGACAGTTAAATCACTCTGTTGGAACGCTTTTCTAAATCCATAATATTGATGTATTAACGTGAATTGTTCTTGGATTTGATACATCACCTGATAATCGTAATGGCTGTGTCCGCAAATACAGTTTGTCATCCTAATCGCAGACAAATTTTGACGTTAAAACTGATGCCATCAACATATGCATATCCTTCAAGTAACTCTTTTTAAAGTAATGTAAATTGTATGATATTCATGAGTGATACGAAAAGCACCCAGAAAATAACACAGCAATCTGAAAAGAAAAAGTAGTAGAGAAAATGCTTATCAATTTTGAGGTAAAACAATAAGTGTTTGATGTCTTCTTCTATGTATAAAAATAAATACGCTTTTTAATTTGAACTGTAAGGCAGCCAGTAGAATAAGTATAATTGTATAAGTATAATTTAGTATGCTCACGAGATGGTAAACAAAAAGGCTAAGTGCGCCTTGGTGACAAACGTGATTTCTACCAACTTCACTGGTAATTTGACCAGTGAGATGAGACCCAGCAGAATTCGTCAATAACTTCTTAGCAATCGACAAAACCTCCGACTGCTCTTCAATTGGAAGTCTAAAAGTGGTACATTATTTCACTTCTTGCAATTCTAATTACCGACAGATACGTTTCAGTCATCAATGGATCAAATGAGCTGGACTGTTTTCTCCGCACATCAACGAAAAAGCACATGCATACTTTTATAAGAGCGAGAACAAGCATCGTCACAGTTCAGCTGGAAATAAACTGTTTGGCGTTATCTCTTCAGCTGTTTTGATTTTTCACAAACAATCATTTCTAGGTAGCAACCAACGAAATTCTGATATGATGATTGAACATGATGATGTGTTTGGAAAGGAAACACATCTAAAACAAACTCGTATTCTTCCACCGTCATTGCTTTACGTCTTTCGGGCATTTTTTCCCTTCCTGCAAACAAAAGCAATCAACTGGATTATTCTTGACTACTTATGCCATGGGAACAGAAATCCGAAATCAGCATCGGTCCAGTTCTTAATAAGAATATCATCTTTGGGTGAACCGCAATGAAACTTCTGGCTTGCTAATAACGTAGATTGCAATCTAAAAATAGTATCGTTCTGTTCAATGATGTTTAAGGTAAGGATAATGAAGCAAAATGAAATGAATTCGAGGATAGGCAACCAACATCTAAAATGATTTCTATTTCGTGCTACATATCTATCGAACTGTGCTCTTCAGCTAAAGTGCTTCAAACTGGTAATCAGAAGGTAAATTTCTTAGTTCTATCACAATCATCATTTGAGGTAAATTATTTTGGTTAACTGAAATCTACGCTGCATAACCAAACTCGCCTTATAATTGACTAAGAGACTGAAGTTCGTCCCCATTAGGCGCAATGCATTTTGTTCAGAATAAAAAGGCTTCATCATCACTACAGTCACATTACACTACTATAGTGACTACTAGTAATCTTCCTTTACCTCAATACTTTACAGAAGAAAACTAGGCCGATCTGCTTGCTTAAAATAACCAAAGTCAGAAGAATGTAGTTAATTTCTGGACAGAAGTTCCAGACTTCAACTTCTACCCTGCGCTTTGGAGTGATACCTATACATCAGGACTACTAACATGTAACGTGAACATCAGATATGAAAGCCTATCGCTGTTTGTCGTACCTTAAAAATTAGTGGTGCCCCGTTCCCATAAAATCGGATGACCATTCAGTTTGGAAGTTCACAGAATGAGTTCAGGTCGGTCTTCGAGGTTTTATAAAATTCAAAGGCAAATAGGAACATTGGAGGACAGGAAGATTAAAAAGGAACTGGTTGATTAAGTCTCAGGAAATTTATTCTATCTTGATTTCCAACAAACCTGGTGAGATGTCTATTCTTCAATTTAAGTATTTTATTTTGCAGACTTTGATTTCGAAACTAATTGTTTTCATATCTTTATCTTCATCCTCACTATTCGCGGAAAACGTTACCGGTATTCTCATCCCATAATTGCAAAAATATTATCTCTCCATTTTCGGACGTCATCTGAAGCCAGTTGTGACCGTTTCCTTGTAGTTTATCATAAACGATACCGTGAAATGTCTCCTTGGAATAAATAAATAAATTACGCTATTCCATCTTACTTCTGCCTTTTTGTGCCCTTCCCCAATTGCACCCCGCCCAGGTTACTCCCGATCAGTTTGAACTTGACCGGCTGCGTGAGTGGTATGGAAGCGGCAGCTCAAATGACAGAGAAATTGTGGCAATTCGCCGAACACAAGTACGGTCGACTGGCTGTGCGTTTCCAGTGGGCCAGTCGAGATAATTTCAGTNTCTCGTTCGGAACGCGTTTCATGCTCGCGCGCAACATTTTGCGAATTGTATTCCCGACAGCCTCACACGGACCCAATCGCAATCATCCAAACGTATCATGTAGTCTTTTTTAATAGACCTAACGGCTCCCGTTGTTGGTTTGCTGCAGACAGTTTCTAAATTAGCAAAAATATCAGTTCCGAAATCTGAAATTTATCTCATTCAAGCCTATTGAAATGTATGATATAGTACTAAAATAGTTACATAGAGAGTATGCGTATTTGCTTTTGTCCATGAAATCTACACACTGGAGGTAACTGATTCCTAATCATTAGATGAAAATGAACTATCTTCATGAACACTGCATCAAATGCAATCTTATATCTTTCTCAGTAATCAAAGACTTTAACTCCACTTTGTACAGCTCTGTCACATTTGCGAAATACTAAAAAGCACAGGAGATGGTTTCAACCTAGGAGTCAAATTAAGTCAAGTCAAGAAAAGCTTTACGCACCCAAAGGGTAAATTATCACCAGTTTACGACTTTTACAGTGGATAGATAAAACAATTGCAAACAGAAAAAGACTGCTGTTAATGTTATAGTGTTATTAACAACCAATTTGATTGTAAAACCTGCCTTGAGAAAGGTTACCCACGGTAACCGAAACGTCGGAGAATATAATTCTCTACCGACATCGCTGTCTTATTAACACTATAACATTCACAATAAAACAACACATGGCACATCGATTTTTCGATGCACTCCTAACGTAATTTTGTCCCGATGTGTTATAAAAAGAAAAAGACTATATACGAAATTCTACACTCAAGTAAATGAGAGAAAAATTGTTTTTTTCCTGAGGTGAGTGAGAGTATTCTGACGGTTTAGTAGTAATCGAGCTAGATATGAAATTATACTGTTTGGATTTGTAGAAGTCCGCGCCAGAAGGGGTTAGTATATTGACCGATTTCGGGGATTTGACAGGGCTTTCGCGATATCTTGGTGCAGACACCACCCTTGATCACGTGTTCTCCTGTCAATGAAAGTATCACAAGCGTCAAAGTGCTTGGAAATAAAGAAATTAACTAAAACAATTCCATCATTTGCAATTAAGGGGGATAAATGTTTAAGGGACCTGGAAAATAAAGTGAAATCATTTTCTTTCATTCCAGGGATAAAAATTGGGGAACAGTATAGCCAATGTGGAAGAATGCAGGCAATCACAAGTTCAAGTTTACGGCCAATTTCCTGAGCCCGTAAGCATAGAAAGTTTTCAAACTTTTGTGAAAACGTTGATGATGTGAGCAGATCACGAAAGGTTATGGGTCAGAGTGATACCAAGATATTTAACAGATACAGATTTTGGAATACTTTGATTGTTAAATATAAGATCAGGAAGATTATTAACTAATCAATGAATGGCCACCAAAACTATAATTTTACTAGCATTGTATGATCCAGTGTGTCTCCCGTTTTTCAAATTTATTCAGCAGTTTTTCATATTTTTTGTAAACTGTGAACGTATGCTAAATGGGAAATAGTCCCAAACAAGTGGTTAAATACTTTGGAAAAATTATGCATCCTATAGGGCAAGCAAAAGTTGCGAATCGAGCTGTCTCCTGAATCAAACTACGAGGTCTATGGAAGTAGATAGTAGAGCTAATCTGTTGTACGCACAGATATTTCATCTGATGGATAAAAGTTAGTAAGTATCTACACCAATTTGCATTACAGCAGGCAGAAAAACGAAAGCCAATGAAGCAAAATCACTCAAGGGAAGCGCTATATAAGGACAAATCAAGTCAGCGAGTTAAGGGCCGCATGAGAATATTAACCCAATCGGGGTAGTTTGCGGGAGGGAAGGAAGAAGGAGGGGAAAGGTACACAAGACGGAGTGCATAGAGACACCCGAAAATAAAATTACGCTGGAAGTATAGCACTTTGCCCTTCGAAGTAACGGTTATACCACTCCATAGAGAAATGCCTTTGAAAAAATAAACAGAGAAAACAATCATTCAATTTCTTTTTTATTGGCAAAATCTGGCTCATAACAATTGTGTTAAAACATCTACCATAGAATCATTCTCCACTGCATATTATGATGTTCTGATTCATCCTGATTTGTTACGAAAAACATGTAGAGCAGGTTTCAGACAGTTCCGCACATTTAATTATTATTTGTGAAATGTCTACTATCACGATGTATTTAGATGGGAGTGAAGAAGGATGATGTTGATGTATGAGAAAACTCTTCTGGTTAGTAAAACAGGATTTTTATCCTTGTGTGAGAGAGAAAAACGATGTTTTGAACACAAGTGAACATTATTCTTTATTTGACGAGAATTCATGTGTGGATCAGGTGAACATTTTGTGTTAGTCAGTGACCATTCAGTCAGTAATAGAGGCCCATTTGTCTGAAGTTATACTGAAGTCATTCACAATTAGATAGAACAAACTGTGCAGAAGTACAAGGGGATTTCACACCCACTCTCAGTCACGCAATTATGAAGACTCCACATTGATGCAATGTTCGACTCCAAATTAATCGTGATTCAGACTATGGTCAAGTACGCTACTGCGCGAAGTCACGTGCACGCTAGTTGGAAGTAGAGATCCGAACGGACAACATTTTAACCCATCAATATACATAAATAAATACTCCAATAATTGAAACTCACATTTTCATAAGTAAAATCAGCGTACAGCCTCAGGGTGACTGGAAATTGGAATCAATCGATCCTAGTCGATCATGGGCGATGTAAGTTGGAGTTAATAACCTAAAAGCTTATTCGACACAGAGTTGTAGTGTCAAAATCCTCATCCTGATCGCCTCAGTCAATGCTAAAATGCGCAGATAAACATTTTTGCATTTGTTGTGGGGGTAACAATCAATAACTCTGAAAGTGACAACCAGATGTTCAGTTTTTCGCTGAGCTTGGCAATTGTATTCCAAACGTTTCATCATCAATCGAGGTGACATTCTCAATGCAGTAATTGGTGTCCAGTGTCGACTACGTTCACGTGGATTGCTTTGTTTATTGATATGGAATATCCTAGTCCTAACTAATGGGATTGATGCTCTTTATTCTAGTCAGACAGTGGTTTTGCACTTTGATCCACACAAGATCTACCGCAAACACATCTGAAAGTGTACTCAGTTATGAATGAGATCAGCATCGACAGTTTATCCGCCTTTCAAATCTATATCTTAAGAGCACCTCTAAACACATACCGCAATCGGACAGCGATGAACGTGTTACTAAGACCTCTATCCTAGCGTAGGACTTGTTCCTCACTCACAACATTGTCTTGACTGACAGATATTTATTTTTAAGAGATTCCATGGGAATTTTCGGTGTTAGCCTGATCAGACATCCTTAGAGAAAACCATCCAGGTTTCCATTCTCAAGCTTGTTGTTTCTAATGGGCGTCACCTCATAATCTAACACCTCAGAGCAAATCGCCCTTGCTCTAGCCAACAATTTTTTTCACTTGGTTACGTTTTTGCTTCATGCTAAAGAAACTGCTGATGTTGATGTACTGGCCATTTCAAGAAGGGTTTCGGTACACCTTTCATTCGATCCGACCATCTTCTCTTATATTGAGAGACAGCCAAAATAGTTAGTTGATTGTTTGCTTCTTTTTATTTATTTATTTGGGCATAATAAGTATTGATTAAGGGACATGTTAGTTTCGCCTGAAACGTTTAGTTTTGTCATTGCAACGATGTGGAATGGCTTCTATGGAAATCGTTGCCACCAAATGTGGCAAGTGATTTTCCACACAGGTTACATAGCCGATTTCTTGTGGACGAACTAAATTTGCCCCTCACTTATCAACAGGTGAAAAAGAAGTTGAATGAAATTTAAAAAAACATTATGTTGTGTGAATATGTCATCATATGTCGTGCTGTGTGATAAGAGATGTCTTTCGGAAGTCTCGAGTACTTCTAAAAACGAAAATATTTCTGAGGTAGATATATCAAAGCAAAATATAATAATTATACATGTTTTTCTTCCTGCTTTGTTCATTAGTAATCGAAATGTACAATAAACGTTCACTAAGGGGGCCGCGGTCATTCAAAGACTGTCTCGGGAAATACAGATAATGGAAAGATGGGCGGCGGTGGCAGGATTCGAACCCAGGACCCATTTGGTTATTGCGAAGTTCTTACCATCATCATCCATTTACCTAGATTTCATCATGAAACATTTTTTCTGTCTTTACACCTTTCAGGCCATTCACCTCAAACATCCAGGAAATACTGTTGTCTTCCAATATGGCTTTGGTTGCTGCTAGCCATTACGTCAACACTCAGTTTGGCTACATTAATGGTCGTACGAAGACAGCAGGCACAAGAAGAATTGATTGGAGTTACAGTTAAACCTGCTGTTGTAGCCTCAAAAGAACCCAGCATTGCGACCACCACTGCTCGTGGACCGGATATACACGTGGTGCAGGAATATCTCCTCAATGTGGCTATCGTATGTGCCGTTTTATCTGCCTTCAGCACGTTATCTCTGTTGGCTGCTTCAGCTCCCCCAGTTGTTCGACTCATACAAGGTCGTC